TAGTGATGCTTGATCGATTTATTTGAATAAAAAAAAAGATGATGGTGTTAAAGGGTTATTTTGATAAATATTTTTTTCAATAACAAAAAAACTCTTTTAGCTTTATTCACGTAAATTTGAATAACTTTTTTCTTTTTTTTATGGGTCAACTTAAGGATATTCGGTCGAAATTTTTGAAGTGACAAAAAAGTTTGTCCAAAAAAAACACACATTCAAATCGATCGAATATAAATCATCATCGATCTATGGACAACAACAACAACAACAGAAAAATATTGAATATAAACTGGTGGTGATAATGACAAATCGATTTATGAGGAGAAAAAAAAAATTCCGTTCCAAATTAAAAAACATTGGTGAATGATGGCCAGTGATGGCCAAAAAAAAAAAATTCCATTCAAATCTAGCCAGTATAAAGAGAGAATGAAATGGTGGTCAACAATTCATTCTCTCACATTCAAAGACATCAAGGACATCAAACAAAAAAAACTTGGACATCAAACCCGAATAATACCCGATCAATACTGGAATCTTTTGACATTTTGTTTGTTGAATTTCGAATTGAATTTTGTTGTTGTTGTTGTTGTTTGATTTGCAATTGGCAATGGGCAAAACAAAGCCAAAAACTTTAAAATTTGATTAAATTTAATTTGATTTTTCTCTGTGAATTTCATTCTTTCTCTACCACTATTTAATGAAATGAAATCAACAAAAAACTAAAAAAATGTCGATCCCATCGATAAATAATCCAGAAAAAGGTGTTATTTGAAAATAAATAATAATTTTCCTTTTTCCATTTGGGTGATCAAATTTATTGGATGGTGTGGTGGATTTATTATTATCATCATTATTACAACAATGGCAACAAACAAATCGACAACAACTGCTGCTGCTGCTACTACTACACATGATCATCATCATCATCATCATCATGAACACAAGGTAAATCAGAATTTTTTTTTTTGTAAATCTTTGACTTTTGAATAATTTTTTTTTCGATTTTCAAAAAAAAAATTATCATTTTGATTGATCTATTCGACCGATAGATGGCGACAATGAATACAACAATGATATTTTTTGATGATATTAATGATATTACAACAACAACAACAACATTAAATGATGATGATAATACAACATTTAATCGTGCATATATAATACTTATAATTGGTGTTGCAGCATTTTTTATTGCACTTTTATTAATATTAGCTTATTGTTTAAGTAGAATGATGCCATCTTTAAAAGGACCAACATTATTGAAATTTCGTCAACGTATTTTTACACCATCATCATTAAGAAAAACAAAAACACCGAAAAATCTTAAACAAAAACAACAACAATCACCATCATCACCAATATCAATATCAATATCGGTATCAAAATCATCATCACCAAAATCACCATCACCATCATCACCAACATCACCAACATCATCATTACCACCATCAATAGGAAAAAATAATCCAAAAAAAAATTAATACACAATCAAAACAAAATATGAACCATTTAAGTGAATAATTAAACCTAAATCAATGAAAATTAATTTGTAACCAATAGATGGCGTTGGTGTATCTTGGAAAAAATTAAAAAAATAAAAAATTTACCCGAAAAAAAAATTACCAAATCGACAAATCATTCATTATGCAGATTGATTATTTTGTTGTCGATGTTGTAAAAGATTAATGCTTGAAGGGAGAGAGAGAGAGAGTAATGCATAATATTGTTTCAAAATGCTAGGTACATTCAGAGATTGAAATTGGATTTTTTTTTTCTCTTTTTTCTCTCGTTTTCATCTTGTCATCGAGAATCTCACTTGGGAATCATTTCCCAATCTTTTTTTTCTGTGTCTGTGTAAATGTCGAACAGCAGCAGCAGCAGCAGGTCTAGTTTTTGATTTCCAAAAAAAAACAGATTCGATGCAATTTATTTTGCTCCCCCCTTTAAATATTTAATTTACCTGGGTACGCGTTTGTGTTTGAAAATGATTTCCAAAAAAATCAGATTCTGTGTTTGGTAAAAATTGGATACTTTTCATTTGTTTAATGCGTTTCAAAAAATTCAAAAATAATCAATGATAATGACGAACGAAAATGAAAAATGATCCATAATTTGCCGCTATAATCATCAACAACGACGAATTTACTTTTTTCAAACAAGCAATAAATTTCTGGTCTGTTTTTTCCCCTTCCATCATCATCATCATCATCATCAAGCACTGCTTTCGAGAAAGAGAGGGGAAATATAAAAGGATTCCACTGTCATTATTATCACCAAGAGATTATTATTATTCTGTCAAGGATCTCTTTTTTTTCCGAATATGATATGATTATAAAATGTAATCACATTCATCATCATTATTTATGATTTTTTCTGTTTGTTTTGTTTTGTTTTCAAAATTCAAAATGATGATGATGATGATTGAATGAATGGCAATGAGAAAATGTCAACCCCATAAATCCAATATATGAAAAAAATCACATATATAATTCACACACACACACAAAAATTAACCCGTAGGCTGTGATGTTCAATAAATAATATTTATTTATTCAGTGTTTTATTGAGTGAGAGAAGAAGAGAAAAAAGAAGAAGAAGAAAAAAAACGAAATTCGTAAGCAGAGAATAACCAGAGAAAAAAAAACTTTTTTTCTAACTAAGTAGTCTTTCTATCCGTTTGTGTTCATATATTTGTATTTAATTGATACACATTATAACATCATTATTATCAGTATATAGAGAGAATTAGAATTTAAAAACATGAAATTCTTCTTTTTCCCCATCATCAATCATAATGATAAATGATGATGGGCTCACAATTTTTTTTTCGGTGGGGGAGAAACAATTATGAAGAACAGAATGTATAATTTTTGAATCAAGAATATGATGATGATGATTATGTCAACAGCAATGATAACAATAACAACAACAACAACAAAAAATGATGGACAAATCATAAGATAATTGAATGAAAATAAAGTAAAGTAAATGATGATGATATGATATTTAAGATCGAATTGTCCGATATGCTTTTTGGGTAATGATAATGATGATTAATATTTTCTTTCGTTATTTCATTAGATTAGCCTATTGAACAGTACAATCATCAGCATCTTCTTTATTTTTAACTTTTTTCGATGTACGTCGTATTAATGAACGGCTACGTGGTTTACTACTTGGTGGACGTATTGATGATGATGATGATGATGATGCTATTGTTGAATTTATTGTTCGACATGGTGTATTTGGTGCTGTTGGATTTGGTGTTGTATTCATACTATTACATTTTGTATTCATAATATTATTATTATCATTATTAGCATGACTTGGACTTAATAAATTTGTACCAGCAAATTTTCGTTTTGAATCAACTCTAGCTTGTGCTGATGAACGTCGTTTTAATCCTTCAGCATCTGGCATTGGTATTCTTGCTAATTGTTGTAATGTAATAAATATTTCTTTAATATTTTGGCTATTTTTTGCTGAGCATTCCATTAACTATAGTGAAATACACAAATGAAATGATCGAAAGAAAAGAAGAAAAACAAAAAAAAAAGAATCAATCAATTATCAATAAAATATCCATTCAATTAACAATTACCTTGGCACGTAATTTTGGTAGCTCACAAAATATCCATTCAGCAACATCTTCTTTTTGTACACAACGTTTATGTTCACTATCCAAATCTTGTTTATTACCTACAAATACGATAGGCACTTCCTATGTATATATTTTTAGGTAGGATTCATATGGGACAAATTAAAAAAAACGAAAAAACAAAACAAAAAATTTCAAATTAAAATGAATTTAAAGCGATGAATTTACAGAAGCAGAAACGGTACAGTTTTTCTCATTCAAAAAATACACCACACACAACAATAATTGTTACATCGAATAACTGAGTTAACGGGGGAAAGAGATAAAACATGAAACTAATGAAAAACTTTTTTGTTTTTCCTGGAAAAAAATGAATAACAAATTTTTTTTTCTTATTTATTTTCTATATGTGTGTTTTCTCAATATCTGTATTTGCCAATAATAAAAAAAGAGAGAGATAGAGAGAGAGAGAGAGAGAATATTCCATTAAGGGACAGAGAATATTGAATGAAAATTTTCTTCACTTTACTATCTTCAAACCCGTAAAAAAAAATATAAAGTAATTCCAATATTATTGTTGTCAATGTTACTAGAGAAGGATACTTATCATATGAGAAGAAGAAGAAAAATTTCTTTCATTGCCCATTGCCATTTCTAAAGAAATATACTCTTCAGTTCACTTATTATGGATTTCTTTTTCTTATTTGGTCTTTCATCATCATCATCAAGCCATTTGGGAAACAAATGTACATCACATCCACATCATCATCATCATTTTTTTAGGTTTTTTTGGGTAAGAATATTCTTTCAGTTCCACTTTTCTTTTCTTTTCTTTTTTTTGAAGTGGAATTAATTTTAATGCATTTTATGGCCGTAAGGCTTTGGAAATGTCTTCAAAATGTTTCAAAATTGAAAATTTTTTTCCTTCTTCTTCTTCGGTCAAAAAAAATTCAGAATTTAAAAGACAAAAACCAAGCACCGAAAAAGAACATTTTGTAGACCTGATTCGAGAAAACAAACAAAAAAAAAGAAACGGGATTAATTTGATTTAAATCAACAATATGTTTCTGGTAATTTGAAACAGAACAGAACTCAGGAATTAACCTAGCCTATCCAGAACAAAACAAAACAAAAACTTGTCGAAAGTTTTTTTTTACGGATTCATTGTTAATGGAAATTGCTTTGCAATCAAACTAAAATATCTCCCAACAACAAAGAAAAAACATTTATTCATTGGTGAGCACACACACATACACATAATCATTAGCATTTTTTGGGAAAGGGGGATTCATTTCTTGTCTTTCGTTCGAAATCATATGAAATTAGATGATGATGTGAATATCATATATATCGAATCAAATGATTGAAGACTAATGATTATGTTCATTTCTATATTATATAACATATAATGATGATGATGATTTTATAGCAGATTGTTATTGTAGTTGATTATCATTATTATACGAAGCGAGCAACGATCAACGAGCAAAATCTAATGGTCGATCATGAATTGAACAGAAAATAATAATAATAGTATATATTTTGTTTGCTTTTGAGATATCACGAAGCTTAAATTCGTATCATGAATGTTGATGATTTTCTTAATTCTTTTCTTCTTTCTTTCTCTATGTTATTTAATAAGGAAGAAATCACTTTAACACTGTACACAGTGAGAATCATCTTGTTTGTTTTTTGTTTTTTTCTCTATTATTTCTCTCCGATTCAATCAAAACAGAAATAGAAAAAAAAAGATTATTTTTTTGAAACAAATAAAAAAATGGCAAGAAAAAAGTAACAAAAACTTACCTGAAAATCAGATCGAATCTCTTTGATTTCTTCGAAACATTGTTTTATTATATCGAATGATATTTCACTATCGATACTATCGATTGTCGAAATTGAGCGGAAAAAAACATAAACAAAAACAAAGAATTCGTTATTTTTGTCGTTTTTTAGTTTTTCGTTTTATTTTTATAAATTAAAAAGAAAAACAAACCTATAAACAAGAAGAAATGCATTAGCATTTGCAATTGATAAACGTCGCATAGCTGGAAATTGCATTGAACCTTCTGTGTCAAGAAAATCCACCTTTAATTTTAATGTTGTTGTTGTTGTTGATGATGTTCAAGGAAATTCAATCAAATGAAGAAAAAAAAACAACAGAAACAGAAAAAGTATCGCGTAATTTTGTTATCAAACGAAGAAGAAGAAAAAAAAGTAAGTAAATTAAAAAAAACCAGGTAAGCAAAAAAAAAAACAACATTCAGCCATCAAATTGACAGTGATTTTTTTTTTCGTTTGAACGGAAATTCAAGGTACAAAACAGAATAATGATTGTCATTTAAATGCGTAGGTGTTTGTTTCGTTGTTCATTTTTTCGATAAAGTTTTAAATTATTTTTTTTTTTGTTTCATTTAAATTAATTAGATTCGATCGATAAAAAAAGGGTTGATGGAAAACAAGAAAAAGAACGAAAATGGAAAAATAATTAGTAAAAAACTTTTTAAAAGTTTTTTTTAATGAGAAAATTTCGCATTAATAATGAATTCATCATTAACATTTTACAATTTAAAAAATACCTAATCATCATCATCAATTTACCTTAAGATAAACAGTACCGAATGAAAAATCTTTTGTAAATAAATCTTCAATTGTTGGACGATGTTTTTCATTGAATGTATTGAATAAAAATCTCTGTTTAAATTATAAAAATTATAAAAACTTTTACAAAGAATCAATTTTACACTTTTGCTTACTTTCAATATTGAACTTTTCCCGGTATTAGTGGCACCCAGTGTCACTAAACGTAAATGATATGATTCTTGATCGGTGGCCATTGGTGACATTTGTCTGTTGTTTTTTTTTTGTGCGTGTGCAGATTTATTTAGGAGTGTACAAAGATAAAGGTGTAAATGTGCGGGGGTGATATGTTTATGTGTGTGGATCTCTTCTTTTTTCGACGTCTATTTTAACCCAAAATGTTACATTCTGTTGTTAAAAAAACGGAAGGAAAAAAAATTGAATTAATTTTTTTTTTTTTTTTTGAAAGTTAAAGATAATATGATTATGGAGAAAATGTCACAATCATTTCAAAAATGTCAAATTTTGTTGTTGTTGTTGTTGTTGTTGATGGCGAAATGGAAAACAGAAAACACACATTGCTTGGGTGAATTGAACTTTTGATCTTTATCAAATATTTTTAATATTTTTTTTTTTTTTATAAAGATTTTTCATCATGAATGAATGCCAAAAAATATGCTGTTGTTGATTTTCATATGGCTTCCAGGTGAAAAATTTTTTTTTTCTTGGAGAAAAAAACAAACTTTCCACTGAATATTTTTCCGTTGAAAAACATCGACATTCGATTCAAATTGATTTTTGATTCAAATCGATTTTTTTTTCTTCACAAAATTTGATTTTTGAGAAGAAAAAAAAACATTGTATAAAAACATGCAAAGTTAAGAAAATGCAAGCGAAAAAACCAAAATCCAATGTTTTATCTTTGGTTTTTTGCTGCTGTTGTTGTTGTTATAATAATGAACCATAAAAGACGAAAAACAGAAAAAAAATTATTCATCAAAACATTAACGTTTGCATAAGTAAATAAACAAAAAAAAAGCAAAAATCAAGAATCTCCCAATTTCGTCACTATAAAAAATGATGATAATGATAAAATGTTAATGTTATTCTCTTTCTCGTGTGTGACACACACACACACACACATAATCAAATTCAAGTAAAATATTTTATATATGTTGGCCACTAAAAGTGTAAACCCAAGGAAACCAAACCAAAAAACATCATGTAATGAATATCAGCTATTTTTATTATTATATGGGATGTCATTTTATCATCATCATCATCATCATTTTAGCTATCTTTCATTGCTTCATTTTGCTTTTATTTTCACTGTTCCTGGAATGGTGTGTGTGTGATCATCACACACATCATCATCAAAAATCATTTCTTTTTTTTTCTCTTTCTTCATAACACCTCGCATATTTAAATGATGAGGATGGTGAAATGTTTGTTTGTGTGTGTGTGTGTGTGTGTGTGTGTGTGTGTGTGTCCTAAGGAGAAGTTGACACTGCCCGCCAATGCAAGGGAAACACTAAGGCGGGAGGGCATGTAGTCAGCAAACTGTGTCTTATGTATGTATACAGGAATTATGGTGTGTGTAAGTACGGTGTACAATGTAAGAAGACNTAACTTTTTTAGAAACAAAATTTATAATCAACAACAAACAAAAAAAGAGAAACTTTTTTGTTGAAAAAAAGTGATTAAACCCTATGTGTGTGTGTGTGTGTGTGTGTGTGTGTGTCCTTATAAATCCACTACTCGCCAATGCAAGGGAAACATTATAGCAGGTAGGGCGTGTGTGTGTGTGTAAAAAATAAAAAAAAAAATGATATAAAGTAGCAATAGGTACAAATATGAAATGACAATTAATTAAAAGAAAAGAAACGAGAATAAGAAGTAAATACGAAGGCGATGTCGATGTTGTTGCTCAGTATGTAGTTTATTAATTCTTTTGTCGGTGCATTGGCTCTTCTACAGTTTATTTGTAGACACTTCAATGATGATGTAGATCTGTGGTAATTTGTGGTTCTTGTGCTAATATCCATAGTCTGTTTTGCTTGTTGCTTTAGACAGTACCGCTTTGTATATTGGACATTTATCGCTATTTGGCGAATGGTTGATGTTTTCTGGTTGCTTGTCAGATGTCCCAGGTCGTTTGGCACAGTTACAGCATGTCACTTTTTTGTTTTTTTCCGGACAGTTGGCTTTCAAATGTTTGCCTGGACAATGCATACATTGCGGTGGTTCTTTTTTTTGTTTTTCGGGGCATTTCGTTTGTGAATGTCCAAAACTTAGGCAATGGAAGCACTGGCGGACTGGAGATGCATCCTCTGCGTAGACCAGATTGAAGCCGAACGATACGTTGCGATCTAGTGTTTCTAGGATTATTCTTCGGATTGTTGGAGTGACTTTGATAGCCACATTTACTAGATGCTCTTTTCTGTTGTTTTTTAGATAGGCTACGGTGATGGAGTCTTCATTTTCACAGGCATTGGCAATATCTTGATTGCAGTCTTTGATGATTTCTGGTACATGATCACGATCGATTTCTTTAGGCACTCCTTTTAACAGTATAACAGGGTTTTGGCGTTTCGGTTCCTCTGATATCATTTCATCAGAAGCATTGATTAGATCGTCTAGATTCGCTTTTGAATTTTCATCTTTAGAAAAAATCATGATTTTACCATTTGATAGTAATTTGTTTGCTATTATTGCAGTACCAGCTGGTTTTGAACAGACTAATTTTCGGGCGACCTGTAGAGCGTCGGTTGAGGTTTTGGTTTTTTTCTTATCATCTTTGAGATATAATATAGATGCATAACTGTTCTTCAGTGTGGTAGTGTTGCTTCTCGCTTGTTTAGCTGTTGCTTGGGCATACGATACTGCTTTGACCTTTTCGTTTTGTTTATATAATGTCGTTTCGTTCGCGTTGCCATTTTGTTTGTTTGATGTGTTTAAGTTGAGGTCGCCATTTTGTTTGTAGGGTGTGGTTGAGTTGAAGCCGCCATTTTGTTTGCTGAGTGTTGTTAGGGTCTCCCTGTTTTCGAGGACCATTTTTTCTATTTTTGTTAACTTATCCATTGCGGATCTCTCCTCGACTAATTGTTGTTCCAATGCACTGATGCGACTTCGATTCTCTTTATCTTTTTCCAAAGCATGAGAATTGTTCGCCATGATGATTTCCAGTTGGGGCAATACCTTATTCTTAATTGAACTTGTTGCACGGTCGATAGATTGTTTTACGATCGACATCCTATTCTTGGAATTTTGAGTAGTGTTTGTCAATTCTTTGCAGATATTTTCCAATATCCTGCGTAGATCGCCTTCGTTGTAACTTTTGTCTGAGGCTTGATGCTGGTCGTCTATATTTTGCTGTGCCATTTTGGCCCGTTTTTCCGCTGCTGTTACGGTGTTGGTAGATCCTCTTTTCATCCCGTATATGGGTGGTCGAGGGTAACGATAGAGGGGGATAACGGATTTCGATTAGGAGGATAACGGATTTCGATTAGGAGGATAACGGATTTCGATTAGGAGAATAACGGATTAGGAGGATAAGAAACCAAAAAGAGCGAAAATTGAATCAGATTGAAAGAGATTCAAACAGAGGTTGAAAGAGGTGTGTGTGTGTGTATGTACACAGTGTTGATGATTTTTCCTTTCCGAAAATGTGTTTTTTTTTTATTACATAAAATTGGTGATTCTGTATTTTTTTTTACGAACCAAAACACAAATCAAACAACACAAAAAAAAAAAACATCTAAATTTAAACAGTGTTTTTTTTCAGTGATATTTGTAAATGTTTGAATGTCAACTTGGAGAAAAGAAAAGAAAAGAAGAAAAGGAAAGAAAACTCGGTATAGTGGTGGAGCATTTCAATGTTCAATTCCCCACTCCATCTCCTTCATTTCTTCTTCTTTTTCCCCTCTCTTCATTCAAACATTTTTAAGAAAAACGAAAAAAATTCTGTATGTTTGTTTGTATGACATAATCATTCCATTCATAAATTTTCTTATGTAATTTTTCCATTCAAATTTAAATCGGTCACACCGAAAAAAAAAGAAACCCAAGAAGAAAATGAAAGGTTATTTTTGTTTTGCTTTTTTTGTTGATTCGCTTTCCATTCCACTGTTTTCGACAGCCGAATTGATTTGAATAAACCAAAAAATATAAGTTTATTAACACCAGATGATGGGCATCTATCATCACCACTGAAATGCAGATGATAACGATGATAATGTCTATCAAAAGCATTCATTTCATTTCATTATCCTTTTTTTTCCAAAATGTAAATGAAAATTAAACGCACACTGTAGTTAATGAAATTAAAATAATTGTTTTCTGGAGGGGGGAAATTGTCTATTTCCCTCCCCTCCAAAATATATTCTGCCGCCATATTAATCAAAAAAAAGAAGCTAAAATTGGCTGAACAAAACAAGAAAAAAAAGCAGCCTAAGATTCAATCAATGAATAATACATAAGATGTCCCTATTTGATAATCTTATTTATTTTAAAAACAAGTTTTTAAAAACATTTTTCGATTCTGATTCTGTAATAGAAAATCAAAATGATATGATTTTCTGTTTTTCTGTTTTTGTGTGATTTTTCGTTGTTTGTAGTTTTCAAATCCTGTGTTATTATATTGAATTGATTGACAGTATACAAAATAATAAGATATATGGATATTATTTCAACAACAACAACAAATCATTTGATAAGCTTGCTGTTCAAATGAATCAAAATTTTATCAAATGTTCATTTGTCTCTCTCTCTCTCTCTCTCTCTCTCTCTCTCAACATC